ATAGCAGCCCCAGGACACCTAAATATTTCAGAGAAAAAGAATTTTTTGCCCTCTTATCAGAAGAAACAAACTTCTTCCCGCCTCAAAGGCAGTGTTCCGATTAGAAGGAAGAATTTGATGATGACCAGAAAGAATCCTGTATTTGAATGGAATTTATGCATCATGTATGAAGTCTATGACTATGCAACGGGCTATTGGTTTAAGGGTTAATCCTTTGATAACGGGTGTCCTTTACTGGGCTCATGCTGCCCAGAAAAAGGTACATGGATGTCCGTAACTCTTTCTCTTTATTCTCTCATATTATCCTAATTCAAATTGTCCAAATTATCATCACTCAAATTGTATTGCTATTTTTATAACCATTCTATTATTATTAAACTTTTAAAATTTTAAAAACAAGTGATTGGGGTTTTTCACACCTTCATTAATTATTAAGTTCTAGCAGTAATTTATTTATTCCTCTTTCTGGTAATCAGATACATTTGTACTCTTTTTGTCATCTTTTTAAAATTCTTTTTACAATAGAGGGCCGGGGGGGAGGGAGGGTGAAGGAACCTTGGAATCCATGGAGACGTTTCGGGAACACATTTGGGATAGTTTTGGGTCTGGGGAAGGAATTCAGAGAGAGCTTGAGGGTCTGGAGGACACTTGGGGGAGCCCGGTGGGCAGTTGAAGGGGCACTCAGGGATTCTGAGGGACAGTTAGGGGTTCGGGGCAGCACTTGGGGGTCCAGGGGGGCCCTTGGGGGACTCGAACGGGGCTGTCTGGAACGCGGGGGGTGATGGGAGTTGTAGGCGCGGGAATCATACGGTTTAAAGGGGCCACGGAGCATCACGGGAGTATGAGGCGCAGCTGCAATGGCTCTCGGTGGGGCGCGGGGCACGACGGGAGATAAAGTCCCGTCTGAAATAGTGCCGGACGTTCGCCGCGGAGCATGATGGGAGCTGTAGTCCCGAAAGTGGCTCGAACACGATATTTGGAGGTCAGAGAAGGCTCCTGGGGGAAACTTTTGTGTCCGAGCTGCGACTTGAAGCCCTCGAGGGGAACGTAAACGTCTTTGGAGCCCTTGGGAGGAGGTCTGGGATCTCTAACCAGGCTCTTTAGGGCACGGGTCACAGCAGGAGTTTTAGGCACGGGACTGTGTTCTGAGGGGCTCTGGGGCCGCGGGGGATGAGAGGAGATGAATTCTCAGAAGTGGCTGTACCGGCCATCTGTGGGGTTGGGAGCACTCAGGGGGTCCGGGGACGCTTTTGGGGGAGTCCCAAATGGGCGCTGAGGGGGCACTGAGGAATCCTGGAGGGTCTGGGAGACACTTATGAGACAGATGGGGGAGGATCCCGGGGTTCTTTGGAGCGCAGGGCATGACGGGAGTTGTACTCCCGGCTTCAATGGGGCTGTATCCAGCCGCGGGGCATGATGGGAGATGTAGGCAAAAAGAAATATGGTGCCCATCTAGGCACCGCCGCCACATCCGGATCCCAGGTGTTAATTGGCTGAAACTGCTGATGGGCGGGAGCCTCGGCAAATGGGATGCGTTGTAGGTGGGAACAGCCAAATCACCCTCCTCCAGTCCCTTCCACTACAGCCCAGTTCATTCCCAGTACAGACCAGTATAACCCCAGTAAAGTCCATTTCATCCCAAGTAGAACCCAGTTCAACCCCAGTGCCCCTCCAGTTCCTCCCAGTGCAGCCCAATCTATCCCAACACACCTGAGTTCATTCCCAGTTGTTCCCAGTTCCTCCCAATGTCATTCACAGGATGCCCCAGTGTCCCCCAGTCTTCCCTGCAATATCCCCGGTGTCCCCAGTTTCTCCCAGTATCACCCAATGTCACTCCCAGTATGTCCCAGTGTCTCCCACAGCGTTCCAGTGTTCCCCAGTATGTCCCAGTCCTCCCCAGAGTTTCCAAGGACAGTTTCATTTCTCTCGGTGGCCGTGGCAGCCAAACCCAGCAGTGGGGTCAGTGCAGTGCCCATGGCCACAGCCCCTTGCAGTGGCCCCGTGCAGCTTGGGCTGATGATCCACCCTCACAGCTGGCCCAGGGCAGCTCTGCAGTGGCTTTGGTGGCACCTGGGGCTGGCACACACCTGAGCAGTGTGTCTATTTGCACTGGGGAAACTCAGGAGTTTCAGATTGCTTCAAAAAATCCCCAAAAAGGGAAAACTCCTCTTAGGCTGAGTGCAGCCAGCTCTGCAAGCACAGCAGGTCCCAGGGGAGTGAGGACAGACAGGATGGGGCTGGGCAATGTGGAGCAAGGTTGTCCACACTGGGTCAGAGCTCCAGGCACAGCTTCTGTGAGCAGGCCAGAGCTGCTGAGGAGAGACCCTGGGTCAATATCAATCACAGAATGCTGCAATCACCTCTGATGTAAAGAGAAATAAAATAAAATACATCCTTTAAAATAGGAATGCGTATTTTTTACAAGTTCTTTGAAATCTTTCTCCATAAGTGGACTAGGAAAAATTTAATGATCCTCACAGGGCATTGATGTTGTTTACATCAGACTCAGTGACTGAGAGTGACTTCAAAAAACTTCTCAAGAACTCAAAGTTAAATTGAAACTCCAAAGTTCCTTGAAGTTTTAATGGGTCCCACTGAGGGACATGACTGAGAAGGTGTCCCCAGGTTCCAGTTAGAGCAGAACACTGGAGGCAGTGATGACAGCTGGGATAAACAAGGCCAAGGTGTCTCTGGTGCTGAGCAAAGCTGGATGTGTTTGAGGAATGCCAAGGGCCAAGGCCTGAGCCCCAGCCCCTGGCCAGGCAGATGCTGTCCCTCCCTCCTTGCTCAGGGCTCTTGCCGGGATGGGCACTGGCATGTGGGGATGTGCAATGGCAAGGGCAGGAGCATGGGGCGGCCCCTGCCAGGCTGCTGAGCAGGGACAAGGAGGCAATGAGGCCCCAGGCCTGCAAGGGTCACTTGTCTCCTGCTCCTGCCTCAGGCCCAGGCCCAGCAGCCATGGCCAAAGTGCTGCCCAAGTTGGCTCTGGCAGGGCTGTCTTGCAGCTGCTGCACATGCCTGTGCCCTGTGCAGCCCAGGCTGTCCCACGGTGTCCCTGCCCTGCGCCTCTGTCCCTGCAGGCTGTCGGCATCCCCCGGCTGCCCCACCTGGCTGGCCCCTTCCTTTGCTGACAGCTCTGCCTCCTGCCTGCCCCTGCCTGCCCACACAAAGCCTGGGGCTGCCCCAGGCCCCTTCTGGGAGATGTGTTGCACCACAGCCCTGCCCTGGGATAGAAACTCCATTGTCTTTGTTCTGAATCTGGGCCTCCCCAGGTGCCCTTGGCATTAATTTGGGCTTTTTCTGGCTTTTCTCTACTATGTCAAAAGGCTTCACCATCTCTGACACCACCCTTCAGTCCCTCCCAGGGTTCTCCTCTGCTGTCCTCAGTCCCCACCTGTTGGGAATTTATCTGACTGGACACTGGAAAAGTACAAGGCCGTGGCTAATTCCAAGTCCTGCATGTGTAAGACAGCGTGTCCTTGGGCCTAGCTGGGTATGATAACGAGTGGACAGAGAGACGTGGGAAATAGAGAACGTAGGCCCAAAGGAATGAGGGAGAGGTGGTGGTATAGTTTAACCAATAGATCGCTTGGCTTACAGAATATTCATGAGCTCATTACTTGCTGTGTAAGTGTCTGATGCTCTCTTCAATAAACAGAACTTGCTGTTGACTCATATTGAGCCCCGAGTTTTCCCTGCACCCGACAAATGGCTCATCCCCGACAAAGGCCTCGTTCTGCGACAATTCTTCATGTATCAGCCCAATTTCCCCTTTTTTGCGTCCAAATTCCCTTTTTCCCACAAAAAATTTCCATTTTTTGGACCCAAATTTTCCTTTTTTTCAGCACAAATTCCCTTTTTGTTAACCCAATTTACCTTTTTTGTTGCTCAAATTCCCTTTTTTGAGCCCAAACTTTCCCTTTTTGGCCCCAAATTCCCCTTTTTTCTCCCCAAATTTCCTTTTTTTGGTCCAAATTCTTTTTTCCTGGACCCAAATTTCCCATTTTTGGGGCACAAATTTCCCTTTTTGAGTCCAAAGTTCTCATTTTTTGGACCCAAACTTCCCATCTGAGCACCCAAATTCCCATTTTTGGCCACAATTTTTCCTCTTTTCACACAAATTCCCTTTTTAGGTCCAAATTTCTCCTTTTTGTTGCTCAAATTCCCTTTTTTGAAGAAAATTCTCCTTTTTTCAACCAAAATTCTCCTTTTAGGACCCAAATTTCCCTTTTAGGACAAAAATTCCCATTTTTGGACCCAAATTTTCCCTTTTTGGGCACAAGCTTCCATTTTCTTCATCCAAATCCCACTTTTTTGGTCGAAATTCTCCATTTTTGGACACAAATTCTTCTTTTTGACCCAAACTTTCCCTTCCTGGACCCAAATTCCCTTTTTTAGTCCCAAATTCTCCTTTTTGGACCCAAATTTTCCCCTTTTTCAGCCCAAATTCCCATTTTTTTCACCCAATTTCCCCTTTTTGTTGCACAAATTCCCTTTTTTGTGCAAAAATTTCCATTTTTTAGTCCCAAATTCTCCTCTTTGCACCCAAATTCCCATTTTTGACCCCAAATTTCCTCTTTTTTGGTCCAAATTCTTTTTTCCTGGACCCAAATTCCCATTTTTGGCTCCAAACCTCCCCTGAGTGCCCAAATTCCCATTTCTGGGCACAAATTCCCATTTTGGACCAAAATTATCCTTTTTCTGACCCAAACTTTCCCTTTCTGTCCCCAAATTCGTCTTTTTTTCCGCCCAGTACTTCCGCTCTTGTCCGGGACTACATTTCCCATCACGCCCTTCGCTCACTTCCGCTACAAACCCCGCCCTTTTCCCCTAGTACTCCCGCTCCGTCCTGGGACTACATTTCCCATCATCATCTTTGTCGACTTCCGCTTCAAACCCCACGCACTTTCCCTCTGCACTCCTGCTCCCTTTTGGGACTACATTTCCCATCACCCCCTTCGCTAACTTCCGCTATAAACCCCGCCCTCATATCTTTTAATCCTGAGCCGACTTCCGGTTCTGTTTCCCGCCACCGCCGCCATGTTCCTGCAGTGCTACGAGAACGAGCGCGGGGAGCGCGTTTATACCCTCAAGGTAACGAAGGGATTTTGGGGCGATTTTTGCAAATTTTGGGCAACTTTGGGCGATTCTGGGGATGGTTCTGAGGGGATCCGCGGGGTTTGGGTGCCTTGGGAGCGGTTTGGGAGCGATGAGGGGAGGTTGGGTGGGCTGAGGGGGGAATTGGGACGGGAGTTGTGAGGCGAAAAGGGGAAATTTGTTAGAAAAAAGGGGAATGTGGGAATAAAAAATGGGAATTTGGGTCTGGAAATGGGGAAATAGGGACTAAAAAGGGAGAATTTGGGACTATAAAAGGGAAATTTGGGACTAAAATAAGGAAATTTGGGACTAAAAAAGCGAAATTTGGGACTAAACAGGGAGGATTTGGGTCCATAAAGAGGGAATTTGGGGCTGAAAAGGGAAATTTGGGTTTAAAAATGGAGAATTTGGGGTAAAAATGAGAAATTTGTACCGGAAAAGGAATATTTGGAACTAAAAAAAGGGAAATTTGGGACTAAAAAAGGGGGAATTTGGGGTTAAAAAGGGAAATTTGGGTTCCAAAATGGAGAATTTGGGGCCAAAAAGGGACATTTGGGACTCAAAAAGGGAAATTGGTTCCAAAAATGGAGAATTTGGGTCCAAAAAAGGGAAATTTGTACCAGAAAAGGAGAATTTGGGTCCAAAAAGGGAGAATTTGGGTATAAAAAAGGGAAATTTGGGTCCAAAAATGGAGAATTGGGGCTGAAAGTGGGAGAATTTGTGTCCAAAAAAGGGAAATTTATACCAAAAAAGGGAATTTGGGTGCTCAGGTGAGAAGTATGGATCTAAAAAAGGGGAATTTTGGTCTACAAAAGGGGAAAATTGGACTAAAAAGGGAAATTTGGGTCTAAAGGGGGATTTTGGCACCAAAAATGGGAATTTGGGTGCCCAGGTGGCGAGATTGTACCCAAAAAATGAATTTTGGTTCTAAAAAAGGGAAATTTGTGCCCCCAAAAAGGAGAATTTGGGTTCAAAAATTGGAATTTGGGACTAAAAATGGGAATTTGGGTGCAGGAAGGGAAAGTTTGGGGTGAAAAAAGGGAAAATTTGGGACTAAAAATGGGGAATTTTGGTCTAAAAGGGAGAAATTGGGGCCAAAGATGAAAATTCTCAGGGCACAAATTTCCCTTTTTTAGACCAAAATTCCTTTTTTGGCGCCAATCTCCCCATCGGGGCACCCAAATTCCCATTTTTGGACCCAAATTCTCCATTTTAGGACCCAAATTTCTCTTTTTTCACCCCAAATTCCCCCTTTTTTTTTTAATTTGGGGTTGAAAAAAGGGAAATTTGGGACTAAAAAAGGGGAATTTTGGTCCAAAAAGGGAGAAATTGGAACTAAAAATGGGAAATTTGGGCACTCAAGTGAGAAGATTGGAACCAAAAATGGGAAATTTGTACCAAAAAAGGGAATTTGGGTGCTCATGTGGGAAGATTAAACTCCAAAAGGGGAATTTGGGCTGAAAAAAGGGAAAATTTGGGCTCCAGAAGAGAAAATTGGGGACTAAAAAAGGAGAATTTGTGCCAAGGAATGGAAAGTTTGGGTCCAAAAAAAGGAATTTTGGGGTGAAAAAGGGGAGAATTTGGGACTAAAAATGGAGAATTTTGATCCCAGAAAGGAAAATTTGGGACTAAAAATGGGAATTTGGGGGATTTTGGTGTCCTGAGGGGATAATTTGGGGGAGTTTTGGAGGAATTTGGGAGATTTTGAGGGAATTTGAGGATTTTAGGTGTCCTTAGAGGGAATTTTGTGGGAAATTGGGGGGGGGGGTTGGTGTCCTGAGGGGGAATTTTTGGAGGAATTTGGGGAGAATCTGGGCAATTTTGGAGGATTTTTGATGTCCTGAGGGGGAATTTGAGGGAATTCAGAGAATTTTGGGAGGAATTTGGAGATTTTGTGGGATTTGGGGGGAATTTGGAGGATTTTGGGCATCCTGAGGGGGAAATTTGGGGAATTTCTGGGGAGTTTGGGTGTCCTGAGGGGGAATTTGGAGATTTTGGGGAAATTTGAGGGATTTTAGGTTTCCTGAGGGGCGAATTTGAGGGGATTTGGGAGAATTTGAGGGTTCTGAGTGGGAATTTTGGGGGAATTTGGGGGATTTTTGTTGTCCTGAGGGGGAACTTGAGGAATTTTGGGGGAATTTGGGGAATTTTTGGAGAATCTGGGGGAATTTGAGGGATTTTAGGTGTACTGAGGGGGAATTTGAGGGAATTTAGAGGATTTGGGGGGATTTTGAGGGATTTGGGGGAATTTGGAAAATTTGGGGCATCCTGAGGGGGAATTTGGGCCATTTTGGGGGATGTTTGGTTTCCTGAGGGAGGAATTTGGGAAAATTTGGAGAAATTTGGGGCATTTTGGGTGTCCTGAGGGAGGAAATTGGGGAATTTGAGAGGAATTTGGGGGATTTTTGGTGTCCTGAGGGGGAATTTGGGTGTCCTGAGGGCATAATTGGGGAAATTTGGAGAATTTTGGGGAAAATTTGGAGGATTTTGGGTGTCCTGAGGGGCAGTTTGTGGATTTTGGGGTAATTTGGGGGATCCTGAGGGGGGAATTTGGGAGATTTTGGGGAAATTGGGGCATTTGGGGGAAATTTGGTTATTTTGAAGGATTTGGGGTGTCCTGAGGGGGAAATTTGGGGATTTTGGGGGAATCTGGGGGGTTCTGGGTGTCCTGAGGGGGGAATTTGGGGCATTTTGGGGCAATTTGAGGCATTTTGAGTGTCCTGAGCAGGGATTTTTGAGGGAATTTGGGGGAAATCTGGAGAATTTTTGGTTTCCTGAGGGGGATTTTGGGGGAGTTTATGGGAATTTGGGTATCCTCAAGAGGGATTTGAGGGAATTTGGACGATTTTGGGTGTTCTGAGGGGGAATTTCAGAGATTTTGGGGAAATTAGAACATTTTGGGGGGAATTTAGGGCATTTTTGGGGCAATTTGGGTGTCCTGAGGGGGGAATCTGGGGAATTTAATGGGGGGAATTTTGGGGAGAATTTGTGAGATTTTGGGTGCCCTGAGGGGAATTTTTGGGGAATTTAGGGATTTTGGGGAAATTTGAGGGATTTTAGGTGTCCTGAGGGGGGAATTTGAGGGGATTTGGGAGGATTTGGGTGTTCTGAGAGGGAATTTGGGGGATGTTGGGGGAATTTGGGGGATGTTGGGTGTCCTGAGGGGGGAATTTGGCGGGAAATTTCGGGTGTCCTGAGGAGAGGAATCTGGGGGGAATTCTGGGGATTTTGGGGGAGTTTGCTTGTCCTGAGGGGGGATTTGGGGTGGATTTCGGGTATTTTGTAGGATTTTGCTGTATTTTACAGCATTTTGTGTAATTTTCCCCTCAGAAAGTGTCCCCGGCCGGGCTCCCCACACGCTCGGCCCACCCCGCGCGCTTCTCCCCCGATGACAAATTCTCGCGGCACCGCCTGGCCCTGAAACGGAGATTCGGGGTCCTGCTCACCCAGCGGGGCCGGGCCCTGCTCTGAGGGACCCCAAAATCCCCCCAAAATCCCCCATGGAGCAGATGGAGCTCACTCAAACCCGCTGAGCTGAACGGCGTGGGAGGAAGGGGTTAAACAGGAGGAAGTTGTGACTATTAAAGGATTTGGGAGCTCGGAGGTGTCTGAGTGTTGGTGGTCAAAGAAATTTGGGGTTTTTTCATTGTTTTGAGGGGGTTTTTGCGGTGTGGGAGGGAATTAATGGCGATCTGTGGGGCGCGGGGGGTGGTGGGAGTTGCAGGCGTTGGTGTAATGGAGCTCTATGGGGCGCGGGGGATTATGGGAGTTGGAGGCGCGGGTATAACGGGGCTCTATGGGGCGCGGGGCATGATGGGAGTTGGAGGCGCGGCTATAACGGGATCTATGGGGCACGGGGGATGATGGGAGATGTAGGCGCAGGTATAATAGAGATCTATGGAGGCCTGTGTATAATGGGACTCAACGGGGCGCGGGGGATGATGGGAGTTGTATGCGCGGATATAATAGGGATCTATGGGGCGCGGAGGATGATGGGAGTTGTAGGCGCTGCTTTATTAGAGGCGCGGTGCATCACAAGAGACGAAGGCTTTGCTTTAATGAGGCCGCGGAGCATCATGGGGGATAGAGGCGCTGGTTCTAAGGTGCTTAATAGGGCCGCGGGGCACGATGGGAGCTGTAGTCCCGAAAGTGACTGTGACGGAGCGTTTGGGGGTCCGGGAGAGCCCCTGGGAGGACCCTGTGGCCTCGGGGCGCCCTTGGGGGGCACCTGGGGGGACCTTGTGGGCTCGGGGAGCCCTTGGGGGGTACCTGGGGGTCTTTGAGGGGTCTCCTTGGGGCGCGGGACGTGAACGGGACTGGCAGGGCCGGAACTCGGCCATGAGAGGGCTCTGTGGCCGCGGGGGATGACGGGAGATGTAGGCCCGAAAGCGGCGCTTGGAGGCCTCTGTGTGCTCTGGGGCGTTTGGGGGTCCCGTGTGGGCTCTGGGGGGCAGCCGGGGGTCCCGCAGGGTCTGGGGCGCCAATGGGGCACGGGAAGGCGATGACGGGCGCTGTGGGGAGGGCGGGGCATGACGGGACCTGTAGGCCCGGCTCCATTAGGGCCTATGGGGCCGCGGGGCATGAAGGGAGTTGTAGGCCCGGCTCCAATAGGGTCTATGGGGCCGCGGGGCATGACGGGAGTTGAAGGCTAAACGTCTCTAAAATGGCGCCGACCCCCAGGCCCCGCCCCCAAGTCCTATTCCCGGGCGCTGATTGGTTGCAGGAAGTGACGGGCGGGAGCGTCAGTCAATGGGAGGTGGCGGAGGCGGGAACAGCCCCTTTAACCCTTCCAGTGCCTCCCAGTCCCTCCCAGTTCATCCCAGTACAGACCAGTACAGCCCCAGTGTCCCTCCAGTCCCTCCCAGTTTATCCCAGTATCACTCCCAGTACGTCCGTTTGCCCCAGCGCTCCCAATCCATCCCAGTCTGTCCCAGTACGTCCCAGCCCCTCCCAGTTCATCCCAGCATCGCTCCCAGTATGTCCCAGTTTGCCCCAGTGCCCCTCCAGTCCCTCCCAGTCACTCCCAGTCCATCCCTGTCCCTCCCAGTGCTGTTCCCAGTCTGTCCCAGTTCATCCCAGTATCGCTCCCAGTTTGTCCCAGTGGCTCCCAGTCCATCCCGGTCCATCCCAGTATGTCCCAGTCCATCCCAGTTCCCCCCAGTTTGTCCCAGTCCCTCCCCGGCCCCTCCTCAGCTCTAGCCCCGCCCCTTCCATGACCACGCCCGTTCCGTGACCACGCCCCCTTCATTAGCCACGCCCCTTCCCAGTCTCCCCCCCCCCCCCCCCCCCCCATTTCCAGTTCCAGCGGCAGCTCAGGGAAGGTGAGTGGGGCCCCAGTGACTCCCAGTTCATCCCAGTAACCCCCCAGTAACTCCCAGTAACCCCCCAGTAACTCCCAGTTCATCCCAGTAACTTCCTCAGTCCGTCCCAGTGACTCCCAGTTCATCCCAGTAACCCCCCAGTAACTCCCAGTTCATCCCAGTAACTCCCTCAGTCCGTCCCAGTGACTCCCAGTTCATCCCAGTAACTCCCAGTAACCCTCCAGTAACTCCCCAGTAACTCCCCGGTAATTCCCAGTAACTCCCAGTAACACCCCCAGACCCTCCCAGTTCATCCCTGTAACCCCCCAGTAACTCCCAGCAACTCCCTCAGTCCATCCCAGTAACTCCCCAGTTTATCCCAGTCCCTCCCAGTAACTCCCAGTACCTCCCAGTAACTCTCCAGTAATTCCCAGTTACCCTCCAGTAACCCCCAGTCCATCCCAGTAACCCGCAGTAGCTCCCAGTAACTCCCTCGGTCCATCCCAGTTTATCCCAGTCCATCCCAGTAGCCCCCCAATAACTCCCAGTCCCTCCCCAAGTCCCCCCCAGTTTGTCCCAGTTTGTCCCAGTTTGTTCCAGTCCCGCCCTGCTCAGGAATCCCAGTGACTCATCCCCCCCCCCCCCAGTTCCCCCCAGTTGTTTCCAGTCCCTCCCAGTTCCTCCCAGTACCCGCCCAGTCCCTCCCAGTATAACCCAGTCCCCGCCCAGTACATCCCAGTTCCCGCCCAGTCCCTCCCAGTCCGTCCCAGTTTGTTCCAGTTCCCCCCAGTTTGTCCCAGTTCCCCCCCAGTCCCTCCCAGTATAACCCAGTCCCCGCCCAGTCCATCCCAGTTCCCGCCCAGTCCCTCCCAGTCCGTCCCAGTTTGTTCCAGTTCCCCCCAGTTTGTCCCAGTTCCCCCCCAGTCCCGCCCAGTATAACCCAGTCCCCGCCCAGTCCATCCCAGTTCCCGCCCAGTCCCTCCCAGTCCGTCCCAGTTTGTTCCAGTTCCCCCCAGTTTGTCCCAGTCCCGCCCTGCTCAGGAATCCCAGTGACTCACCCAGCCCCGGTCCCTCCCAGTATAACCCAGTATAACCCAGTCCCTCCCAGTCCCTCCCAGTACAACCCAGTCCCTCCCAGTTCCCCCCCAGTTTAACCCAGTCCCCTCCCAGTTTGTCCCAGTCTCTCCCAGTTCTCCCCAGTCCCCTCCCAGTCCATCCCAGTTTATCCCAGTTTGTCCCAGTCCCTCATGGTTTGTCCCAGTCCCCTCCCAGTTTAACCCAGTCCATCCCAGTCCCCTCCCAGTATAACCCAGCCCCTCCCAATTCTCCCTCAGTCCCTCCCAGTTCCCCCCAGTCTTTCCCAGTTTGTCCCAGTCCCCTCCCAGTATCCCTCAATTCCCTCCCAGTCCCTCCCAGTTCATCCCAGTCCCTCCCAGTATAACCCAGTTCATCCCAGCTCCCCTCCTGTCCCCCCCAGTTTGTCCCAATCCCTTCCCAGTTCCCTCCCAGTACCCCCCAGTTTGTCCCAGTCTGTCCCACTCCCTCCTCCCAGTATCCCTCAATTCCCTCCCAGTGCACCCCCAGTCCCTCCCAGTCTGTTCCAGTCCCTCCCAGTTCCCTCCCAGTATAAACCAGTTCCTCCCAGTTCATCCCAGTTTGTCCCAGTTCCCTCCCAGTCCATCCCAATTCTCCCCCAGTTGTCCCAGTTCCCTCCCAGTTCCCTCCCAGTTCCCTCCCAGTATGACCCAGTGCCCTCCCAGTCCCTCCCAGTCCATCCCAGTGCTCTCCCAGTCCATCCCAGTTTATCCCAGTTTATCCCAGTCCCTCATGGTTCGTCCCAGTCCCCTCCCAGTATAACCCAGTCCCTCCCAGTATCCCCCAAACCCATCCCATTTCCCTCCCAGTCCCTCCCAGTATAACCCAATCCCCTCCCAGTCCCTCCCAGTATAACCCAGTCCCTCCCAGTCCCTCCCAATTCTCCCTCAGTCCCTCCCAGTTCCCCCCAGTCTCTCCCAGTTTGTCCCAGTTCCCTCCCAGTATCCCTCAATCCCCTCCCAGTCCATCCCAGTGCCCTCCCAGTATGACCCAGACCCCTCCCAGTGCACCCCCAGTCCCTCCCAGTGCCCTCCCAGTATAAACCAGTCCCCTCCCAGTTCCTCCAAATTTTCCCCCAGTCCCTCCCAGTATCCCTCAATCCCATCCCAGTTCGCTCCCAGTATAACCCAGTCCATCCCAGTCCCCTCCCAGTCCCTCCCAGTTCATCCCAGTTCCCCTCCTGTCCCCCCCAGTTTGTCCCAATCCCTTCCCAGTCCCCTCCCAGTATATCCCAGTCACTCCCAATTCTCCCCCAGTTGCCCCCAATCCCCTCCCAGTTTGTCCCAGTTTGTCCCAGTTTGTCCCAGTGCCCTCCCAGTCTCTCCCAATTCTCCTCCCAGTCCCTCCCAGTTTATCCCAGTAACCCCAAAACCATCCCAGTCCCTCCCAGTTTGTCCCAGTCCATCCCAGTCCATCCCAATCCCCTCCCAGTCCCTCCCAGTTTGTCCCAGTCCCTCCCAGTTTGTCCCAGTCCATCCCAGTCCATCCCAGTCTGTCCCAGTTCCCTCAAAGGTCACGGAATGGAGCGAGAGCGGCTGCGGGCACTGGTGATACTGGGAGGTACTGGGACAAACTGGGAGGGACTGGGACGGACTGGGAGGGAACTGGGACGGAACTGGGGTGAACTGGGTTATACTGGGAGGGAACTGGGACAAACTGGGAGGAACTGGGATGTACTGAGGTGGACTAGGAGGGAACTGGGAGGGACTGGGATGGACTGGTTTATACTGGGAGGGAACTGGGAGGGAGGGGGACAAACTGGGATGGAACTGGGAGGGAACTGGGATGGAACTGGGATTGAACTGGGATGGAACTGGGAGGGACTGGGATGAACTGGGAGGGACTGGGATGGAACTGGGATTGAACTGGGATGGAACTGGGAGGGACTGGGATGAACTGGGAGGGACTGGGAGGGAACTGAGGGAGAATTGGGAGGGGCTGGGAGATACTGGTTTATACTGGGATCAAACTGGGAGGGACTGGGATGGAACTGGCATCAAACTGGGAGGGACTGGGAGGGGATTGGGGGTTACTGGGATAAACTGGGATGGACTGGGAGATACTGGGAGGGATGGGGAGGTACTGGTTTATACTGGGAACAAACTGGGAGGGGACTGGGATGGACTGGGTTATACTGGGAGGGACTGAGGGAGAATTGGGAGGGACTGGGAGATACTGGTTTATACTGGGAGGAGACTGGGACAAACT